TTATTATTTTAATAAACTTGAGAAAAATAAAATATTAATAAATTATTTTCCAGTTCATTTTCCATAACATGATCAAACACTGGAAAGTGTTTTCTAGTTCATTTTCCATAACACTACCAAACATCAGAAAATACTTTACTTTTTAGGAATTTATTTTCTCCGGAATTCACTTTCCAAAAAAAAAAACAACTTTCCTACAAACAAAAGGAACCTAAACACTCTACAAGTTTCATAAACAGATAAGATATGCAGAAATACTTAATAAACAAATAAAATATATTGAATAACAGGCGTGCGAGTGATAAAAAGTAAAGAGTATAATATAATCTTAATCCTTATATATTTATTAATATTTAAATTTCATCTTAATCTTTAAATTTCTTGATATTACTCTTAAAGAGTCCTCACTAAACATTAAAAGGTGAGTAATTAACCGAATTTGATGAAGTCTCCTCTCTTTTTTTCCCTAATATTTTCATTCAAATTTCTACACATAATGATCACACTACTTCAAAAGACTTTTAATAAGAACTTGCGCATGCTTTACTTGAAATCTTATTTTTAGCATATTATTTGCTTTGCTTTAAGTTCTATTTTATTTTTTCATCACTACATGATAATTCTTCTTACTATCCCTAGCTTCTAGTATAATGAATTGTCCAACCCATATAAGATAGAGTCTGGTATAAGATATAAAATATAATTATGATTATTTTTTAAATAATTTTTCATACTAAAATATATGTTAATAATTTCTTATTTTTTAAAAATTATTTTTAATATTAGCATATTAAAATAATTTGAAAATACTAAAATCATATTAATTTGAAGTAAAAAAATAAATAATAAATAATTTTTTAAAAAAATACTTTTAAAATGTAAAAACAAATAAGTCCTTAATTATGAAGTACCGTGATTTTATCACATAAAAGATATATTTATATGTTTGAGATTTTAATTTTTTTTATAAAAATAAAATTATTTTGATGTACATTTAATGTAGAACCGCAATGTATAGATAATTATTTACTTTCTAAAATAAAATAAAAGGTACCATAAAATAATTCAAAAGCAGCTGAATTATTAGCTTTTTCTTATTATTTAATAATGAGAAATTATTAAATACTTTTAATGTAAATGTATGGTTATTTAATTCAAATAGAAATTCGCAATCTTCTACAATAATTCTAGTGTTAGTTGCTCTCCATGTATATGGCGACACATTCGAACTCTCCATATACATGGCAAAACATTCGAACGAGTTCTAGCCTCCCAGCATTTTAAGATGTTTTTCTTTTCAAAAGCCATTGTTGTCGACATTGCTCCAAAACTTTCTACTCATATACATAAAGTAAATATATTACATTGTTATTAAATACATGTTTTTATGTTTAATTATTAGATATTTTATTTATATACAATGTTTTGTAACATTTTTATGTTATGTCATTATAATGAGACTTTTATTCTTAATGTGAACAGTAATATAACATACAATGACAGAAATAGTTTATTGTTAAATAATAATTTAGACATGTCATATACAAAAATAAAAATAAATTTTTTATTTGCATGAACTTGTTGAAATTATAATGATTTTGACATTGATATATAACTTTGAGATGTTAAGTTGGTAAATATTGGTATTATCATCTACCAATTATATGTGATGACAGTTTTAAGATAATAATTGATTCTTTCATTCAAAGTTTATTGAAAATAATGGTATTATATATAAGTAGTTGACCAAATTATTTTGTGCCCTAATTTCTGGTTGAATAGGTTTAAATGCATCATAATTTCCTAGTCCTTCAAGATAAGTTAGTAAAGATAAAAAAACAATTTATTATCAAATGATTTACTATAAAGGATTGATGATACGATGCTTGACAATCTATGAGCAAATCAACATAGATTTTACTATTTTGATTCTAGTGATAATGAAGATGATGAGATGTTAGACTTGAATGTTACAATAAATGTTGACGATGAATTAATATCTCCCCCTTGTTCCTAAAATTAGAGATGCCTATAAGTCCACATTTTTTATTTTTTTATGATTGGGCACTTAGTCATGGATATTTGCTAGGAGACTTTGTTTTAGAGTTGGACATATATTTGACACTAAAAATGATATAGTTGATATAGTTGAATGGTGGCACATTGCATATTTATTTGAATATCAAGTTTAACAATCAACCTTGATTTTTATTCAATTATAATATGTGCAAACACCTTAATATAAGTGATACTTATATGTGGGATATTATACAAAAGGTTGGATTTATTTGCGATAAAAAAAATTAAAAGGATCGCACAAATATACCTCAATCTTTATCCAAAAAGACCATGATCAATTTGATGTAAATTTATTGTTAATGTTATGTTAACCCTTGTGATAGATGATCTTTCAATGATGATTGCAATCATTCAAGATGAAATAAAATTATATTACAAGTATAAAATATCATATGACAAAGCATGAGTTACAAAATAGAAAGTAATTAAGTATCTATTTGGTTCATATAGAAAGTTATTTAGAAAATTATCAAGGTTGTTGTTGATAATAAAAGAATCAAATCCTTAAACAATTATTGATCGACTCCTAAAGAGAATCTTAATGATAAAACAGTGGTATTTGAGATAGTTTTTTTGGTCATATAGGTCTTATATTGAAGGTTTTAAATATTATAGGTTACTCATTAATATTGATGATACACATTTGCATGAGTTATATGATGGACTATTATTGATTGTAGTTGCTTTTAATGCACATAATGTGATATTTATTCCTTTTAACTTTAACAATTGTTGATAAATAAAATAATTACAATTGGAAATGATTTTTACTTTTCTCATAAAGATACATTATCGATGATAAAACAAATATATATGTGTGTGTATTAACAATTATATGTAGTAGAAATTTAGCTTTTTACTTTTCTCATAGAGATACATTATCGATGATAAAACAAATATGTGTGTGTGTGTGTGTGTGTGTTTATTAACAATTATATGTAGTAGAAATTTAGTGTGAACCCTATAGGATATTATTGGTATTATGCTTAATATTTTGTTAGCAACTTCAATCATAAATTCAAAAATCTATTTACAAAAACAAAATTGATAATGATGTGTTATGAACCTTTAAGGCACAAATTTGATTTATAATATGAAAGAATGTGCAAGTTAAACCCAACTTGAAAAAGTTGGATTAGAATCAAAGTGAGTCAACTATTATTCATTATAACAATAGCGCTGCAACTAAACTTTCAAAGAATCTAGTAATGCATAGTCATGTCAAACATATAGATGTATGTTTTTACTTCCTTCGAGAACTCATAAAGAATGGTATAGTGGAATTGGTGCATTATGACACATAGAAACAATTCATTGATATAATGACTAAATCATTCAAGCTGGATATTTTCTTGGAGTAGGAGTTTTTTTTAAGATGGATATAAATTGAATTTTTATAACATTCAATTTAAGGGAGGAATTGTTATGATTTGTTATTCTAGATGTTAAACAGTTGTTAGTGATAACAAACCACTAAGACAATAAATCTCCATTATTAAGGCATGGTTGTTTGATTAAATTAGTCATACCATGTTATTAGGATTTGTTAGATGTGGGTTATCGTTCTTTTGTTTTAATTTGTTTTGTAAGGCTATATAATATCCAAGTGTGTTCTTTAATAAAATTAAAAGAATTTTTCTAATTACATTATCATCTTCATAATTATTCTATTCTTAATATAGCCATCTTTTATCTAGTAACCTAGGTCATTAGACCTTGGTATTCAACAAAACAAAAAGGATAATTATAAAAAAAAAACCGTCATATATTTTAATATATTTTTCATTTTTCAATCTAATGTTTGAGAAATTATGCTTTGATTTCATAATCAATAAGAAAAATCAAATTAAATAAAAAAACATGTTTGCCCTTATATATAATAAATGTAAATCTATATAATTTTTTCATAAATTTTATGTCTCTCTCCTAAATGCAATTTCTCTTTGCCTCTTTCTCTCTCTAAAAACACAGCACACCCATACAAAAATGCTAATTCTGAAGCAATATTTTTTATATATATAATTAATCTGAAGCAAGATCTTTGTATTGTAACCCATTTTTGGATCCTTGCAAAAATAAATAAATATATATATATAAATAAATAATAAAATCAAAAAAATAAATAAAAATTTAAATATATATCGCAAATATATATATATATATAATAAAATGAAAAAAATAAATAAAAA